AAATAATGTCGCGAAAATCGCGAAGCGACTGATGTGCTGTCACAAAAAATGTGGAATTCATTGTAACCTTTCCGTCCCGGATTATTTTGCTGTCATCAATTTTGTTGTTCATTTGGCTCTCCATTTTTTACCGGTTCAAACCAAACACCCTGTAAATAATCGAAAAATGATCTCAATTCCATAAGTCACACCGAATTTACACGGAAATTCCCTGAGGTCTGTCCAATGTGAGACATTTTCCTTTTTTCCAATATGAACATAGCATTTTTCGTTGTCAAATCATAAACGAATCGTATATAAGCGAGTAATTGCCATGTATACCGGATATTCTAGGTTCTCCAAATCGTCCTGGAGTTCAGTTGATTTGTTCTACTATATCAACCAAGACTGCAATAATGTCTGTAGTATCGAAATAAGTCCAAACAGATTCAAAGTGTCTATGTGGATTGTACCCGACCTATACGACTTACGTATACAAGATGTTTTGGTTCTGAAATCATTCTGTAGATCAGGTTATTTTTCTACTAGATCACCCAAGACTAATTTAATATCTGTAGTATCGAAATATGCCCAAACAAATTTGCAGTGTCTATGTGAATCATGCCAAATGTTTTAGGATTTCCAAATCGATATTTACAGATATTATCCTAGTATTTGTTGATCTAGTAAAACAAATCATCTGAACTACAGGACGATTTGGAGAACCTAGATCATCTGGTATACGTGGAAATAATTAAACATTATCCATTTAGACACTATGAATCTGTTTGGACATATTTTGATACTACAGACTTCATCCCAGTCATGGTTGATCTAGTTGAATAAATCATCTGAACTCCAGAACGATTTCTTCTTCTTCTTATTCGCATTTCAAGCTTATTGATTAGTGCATATTTATTAGCTTATTGCATGCTCTCAACTTAGTGTTCTAAATGCACGCTCAAAGTTATTAATTGAGAGCTTTCGATGCCAATACCAATGCATGAATTTGTATATTGTGTGGCAAAAACACAATTATACTCTATTCCCAGGGAAGTCGAGAAAATTTCCAGCCCGAAAGATTCCCTCGATCGGACCGGGAATCGCACCCGCCGCCTCGGGCTTAGTAATACCGTGCCTTTACTGACTAGGCTATGAGGCCCAGAACGATTTGGAGTACTTAAAACATCTGGTATACATGACAATAGTTCATGTTTGATTCACATAGACACTGTGCATCTGTCTGGAAATATTTCGATACTAAAAACATTGTCCCAATCTCGGTTGATCTAGTAGATCAAATTATCTGAACTCCAGGACGATGTGAAAAACATTGAACATCTGGTTTACTCGGAAATAGATCATGCATGATCCACATAGACACTTTGAATCTGATTGGAGAATTTTCGATACTACAGACATTATTGCAGTCTTGGTTGATCTAGTAGAACAAATCAACTGATGTCCTGGCCGATTTGGAAAACCTATAATTTCCGGTATACACAGTAATGAGTCGTGCATGATCCACAAAGTCACATTCATACGATTCGGTTATGATTTGACAACGAAAAGTGCTAGGTTCATATAAGAAATAAAAAAAAAATATCATGAAAATGTCTCACCATTGGGCAGAACCCAAGGAATATCCGTGTAAATACACAACCGTGACGTGACCAACAAGCGTGACTTATGAAACTTTGGTAATTTCACGATTATGTGCAGTGTGTTTGGTTTGAATCGGTAAAAAATTGAGAAAACTAGAGCCAAATTAACTACAACATTCGTCTCTGGTTAATTTTCAAGAAAGTTTGCATTTCAAATGAAAATGCATTAATTTTATTAATAATGTTTCATTAAATCTAGGCCGGTATTAATATAGAATCTCATAATGTAAGGGTGTTTTATTATGTTCACTATTATTCAGAATTTATACTATACATAAATAACTAAAGATGATACCATGTTATTCTTTTTTTTTTTAATTCAAAGGTTACAAACGATACTCCTTTAGCTCAGTCGGTAAAGGCGCAGCTACAAAGCAAGTCCAACCTGGAGGCGACTGAGTTCGATTCCCGTCCGGTCTATTAATTTTTAGAGTTGGAAAATTTTTCTACTTTCTTGGGCATTGGATGGTACAGGCATAGAAAGCTCTCAATTAAAATGTGAAAGTACTTCAAAGAACACTAGGTTGAGAGCAGGCAAAAATCTAATATGCTTTAAGTATTAAGCTTGAAATGCCATGCAGTAGTTACAACTGCTATTTTTAGGGAATGAAAACAGTTTTTTTGTCGCGGATTAGTATTTGAAGTCGCGGATTTCTTTTGAGAAATCGCGGATTTCGCGGATCAAATTTAGAAAATCTTGTAACAGCCCTGCATCTCAGTTTCTCACCAAATGGGTTCAAATTGTGAGAGGTTAGTCAGGATCCGATTTGGAATCGTTTAAGTATTGTGGAGCGAAAATTTCAAATTTTGCATCACCCTAATGGTCACCCTTATGACAAAAAAAAAACTAATTTTCTAATATTTTGCGTTCCTTATCGCAAAATATTAGACACTTACTACCTATTTTTACGAAATTTTGAGAGCCACTATATCGTTTTGCTATGCAATGGCTGATATGACGTGACTTTTGGCACCTCACTAATCACAAAGAGTCACACGACTCTTAAATAGAGTAAGGGACCGTTAAATCGGTGAAGTTCTAGTTGTTTTTACTGTGCTCCGGAAAGTTTTTTCTTTCTTCCAATCTTCACCGTCATCAATACATAACGTTGCGACAGACATCCTGGCTGAAACAGTTTGAGATCATGGGGCTGTTGCATTTTAAATCCCATTACAATTTGGTGGGCACTCATTGTTCTCGTTCGCAATATACCTACCTGATTGAGGACGCATGTGCCCGTGACTTTCTCACGGCAAGGAACTGCGGTGACGGTACCACCGCGCAGATAGTTAGGCAAAGCTCGGAACGCGTCATTATGTGTTATTACCATTAAATGTGCTATCAAATTATTATGATCGATTCTTATGCTTAGAGGCTAAGTTAGCTGGGGTTCCCATCGCAGGTCCAATGGTAAGGTTCCCTATGCATAGCTCGGTTTGATCGATTATGGTTGTCGGATTGGTAATGAGAGAGGAGAAGGTCTTGCATTCATCTGGTTCGCCATCGTACGGATTGAGGTGTGGGCTCTGTGTGGTTTTTCTCTGTGAATATGGGAATTAGTTGCAATTACTTTGATTTAAGGTATTGGGGTCGGCAGGTGTGGTAAAGTTCGAAGAGAGAATTGTTCAACCCTGCGATGTATTGACATTTATTCACGACTATCATAAGGCATTAATCGTCGATAGATAGCATCTAAAGCATTCCGTGCTCATAAATTTAAAAAAATAGGCCTATTAACACAGAACAGTAACAAATCGGTGAATCAAAAGGTGGTACGTTTTTCTGCTCAACAAGTGATGCGTTGTGGTAGCGTTCCACGCGGGCTTTCTATGCGCTCTCACACTATCATAGCATGCTGTCTATCGTAACTGCAAGCAGAAGATGCTTTCTTCCGCTAGGTGTGCTAGTGTTCGCCAATGAAAAGTGGAGCCACTATCTGATCTGAAGTTCCACTTCTGTTCTGTGATATTATTCTTTACCACCAATGCCTTTTCCATAATTATAAAGTTGCATCCTCTTCAAACAATGTTTTAATTGATTAAATTTCACGCAGCTTCCACAGACTTTCCACTCACACCGTCGTCATTTTTCTGCTTTGCGAAACTTTAAACGTGCCCCTTTTACCTCGTGCAAAAGGCAAGTCAAAGTTCGCGCCTCTTATTTTTCTGCATTTCAAAACTGCACCATGCCACTAGGTATTACGTGTAACTTCGGTGTAAACTTTTCTCCTGCTTGCAAAACATGACCCCGTGTCACGCTATGGTGCGACGGTGGCGGTGGCTCGGAGTGTGTTCTCCTGTCGCGTTTTGTGTCGAGCAGACAAAAATTATCGTTTGGATTTCTTAGGTCCCCCTTCGGAGAGATGAGGCAACGAAGGGATTATGGAAGCAATTACCCATCCGGCAGAGTGTACTCAACTTGCTCGGGACTGGCAGCGCCGCAGCAAGCAAGGGAAAAAGTTAAATTAATTAATTCGTTTATTTAAGCAGCTGTGTGCCTTAGTGGCAGAAAAGTGAAGTGTTGCATTTCTTAAGATGTCTCTGGTTGGGGACGAACGGACCGGGGCGGGAAGGTGAAAGATGCAAGAGATGATGAAATGAAAGCGAAAGTTGAAATTACGATATGCTCTTGCTGCGTCCTCCGGACGGTGACAAACAGACGGACTTGTGACATAAGCAGAAGGCTTCAACTGCAAATAGTACGAAACTGACGATGAGTGATGAGACGAAGGACTTAAGTTTGGCAGTGTGTTCAAACTTTGGTTTGAATTCGAATGCTTCAAAATACTTGCTTCGAACCGACGATCTGGCAACACTGCCGCTGAATCTTGTTTTACTTGATAATTGTATACAGTCAATCTTAATTTTCAGTGAATTTTGTGCTTGATTGATTGCTAGCACTGTCTCTTCTTTTGTTGCTGGATTGCTTGGCATAAGTTGCGTGTAAATTGTTGAGATAATTAAACTTTTCCTCGACGGCACTTGACGTTTCGCAATGCCGTAATTTTCTTTGAAATGTTGTCATGTCCATTCAACAGCAGATAAGCGGCAGTTTGAAATTATTTATACACTTTAAATGACTCCGACGACAATCCGAGCGACAAAAGTAAAAGTATAACCTTGAAGCAGTGATGGTGTCGACTGTCGCCCGTTTGTTTTGTTGGTGCTGTATTTTAAAATAATATTTCTCTATTGCTTCCGTGCCGAATAGCAACATCCAACTACTATTTATTTAGTCGTGCATGTGTTGTTGTCCTTTTGTTTATGTACCGACCTAACATTTTCATTCCCAAAATATCTCCCTTCTAGAGCGCAGCCTACAATAATCTGTGCCTTTTTCTTTCCATTCCATTTCAGTGATTTACGCCCGACGTCGCTGGAGAAGAGCCAGGAAATTTGCCGTCTGCGGATCTACGAGGTGTACGCCTGGGGCGTGCCGCTAGTCATTGCTGGCGTGGCGGCGATTTTGGACAACCTGCCGGACACCGTCTATCTGCGGCCACGATTCGGCGAACGGACTTGCTGGTTCTATGGTGAGTTATTTTAGTTTGTGCGTGTGTGTGATGGATTATACTGTATGCTGATAAAAAAGTGGTATGAATATTTTGCTAGTCACTCAGGACGGGATTTAATTTGGGAAGAAACAAAAATATGCATTTCTATAACTTGAAAAATTGAATTGTTGAATTATTATGTCGTATATTAATCGGCTCCTCTCAACTAGATCGATAAATGTCATGTGGGGCTGTTGATAAACTACGTGTACGCAAGGTGTAATTAAGCGGGAATCGAAACGAACCGGAAAATAACCAGGAATTTGATTGCAATATCATAATATGTTTGTATATTTGGATCTAATTCCGATAATGTGTATTTATGTACTTTTGTTCCACTGTTTTATTCACCTTGCTCAACGTGTGTTTCGAACTTATTTAAGTACTTTTAGAGATGAACCACTGAGCAAATTAATTTTTCTTAGTCCTGCACACTTAGAAAAAATCATGTACATTTAGGTGCTCTGAGAGTGACATATACGAGTGTCATTGTTGACAGAAAGTTGAGTCTTAACAGACGCGAAATAAAGCGTAATCAAACGTACTTTTCGTCGAGCAACGAACTTTTCTGTCTCGGAGCACTTAATATTACATGACATGTTTGTTTACGTCTCATCTTTTATATCAAAGATGGATTCCGTCACGTGTAAAATTAGTTATTTTTAAGTGTGTGGATTGAAAGTTCTGAGGTGGTTTTACCAATCAGACTTATAATGGGGTTCGACTCGTGTCGTGCTAGTCAGCAGAATTTTCCTAGACCCGGATCTAAATTTTTTTGTTGAAATGTATGAAATCTTAAAAGCTGTTCAAAGTCTTAAAATTTTAAAAGTTTTACGACATCCTCAATCTCTTGAATTTCTGTAATATGTTCTCCTGCACACCGCCGAAGATCGTCCTTAGCACACGTCGCTCGAAAACTCCGAGTGCTTGCAGGTCCTCTTCGAGCATAGTCCATGTCTCGTGTCCATAGAGGACCACCGGTCTTATTAGCGTTCTGTACATGGTACATTTGGTGCGGGGGTGAATCTTTTTTGACCGTAGTTTCTTCTGGAGCCCTTGGTAGGCACGACTTCCACTGATGATGCGCCTTCGTATTTCACGACTCACATTGTTGTCAGCCGTCAGTAAGGATCTAAGGTAAACGAATTCCTCCACTACCTCGAAAGTATCCCCGTCTATCGTGACATTACTTCTTAGACGAATCCTGTCATGTTCGGTTCCGCCTACTAGCATGTACTTTGTTTTTGACGCACTCACCACCAGTCCGACCTTTGCTGCTTCGTGTTTCAGGCGGGTGTATAGTTCTGCCACCGTTCCAAATGTTCTTGCGATAATGTCCATGTCGTCCGCAAAGCACACAAATTGACCGGATTTCGTGAAAATCGTACCCGGGCTGTTGAGCCCGGCTTGTAGCATTACACCTTCTAGAGCGATGTTGAAGAGTAGGCATGAGAGTCCGTCACCTTGTCGCAGTCCCTGGCGAGATTCGAATGAACTGGATAGTTCACCCGAAACCCTTACGCAGTTTTGCACACCGTCCATCGTTGCTTTGATCAGTCTGATCAGCTTCCCAGGAAAGCCGTTCTCGTCCATGATTTTCCATAGCTCTGTGCGGTCGATACTGTCGTATGCCGCCTTAAAGTCGATGAACAAATGATGCGTTGGGACCTGGTATTCACGGCATTTCTGGAGGATTTGCCGTACGGTGAAGATCTGGTCCGTTGTCGATCGGCCGTCAATGAAGCCGGCTTGATAACTTCCCACGAACTCGGTCATTTTAGGTGATAGACCACGGAAGATGATCTGGGATAGCACTTTGTAGGCGGCATTCAACATGGTGATCGCTCTGAAGTTCTCACATTCCAAATGGTCGCCTTTCTTGTGAATGGGGCAGATAACCCCCTCCTTCCACTCCTCCGGTAGCTGTTCTGTTTCCCAGATCCTGACTATCATCCGGTGCAGGCAGGTGGCCAACTTTTCTGGGCCCATCTTGATGAGTTCGGCTGCGATACCATCCTTACCAGCTGCTTTGTTGTTTTTGAGCTGCTGAATAGTCCTTAACTTCCCTCAGCGTGGGAGTTGGGTCAGTTCTGTCCTCTGCTGCACTGACGTAGTCGTTTCCTCCGTTGCGCTGGTCTCCCGTGCCTACGTTCTCCTCGCCATTCAGGTGCGCTTCGAAGTGCTGCTTCCACCTTTCAATCACCTCACGTCCGTCCGTCAAGAGGCTCCCGTCCTTATCCTTGCACATTTCGGCTCGCGTCACGAAGCCGTTGCGGGATGCGTTGAGCTTCTAGTAGAACTTCCGTGTTTCTTGGGAACGGCAAAGCAGTTCCAGTTCCTTGCACTCCGCTTCTTCCAGGCGGCGTTTTTTCTCCCGAAAGATACGGGTCTGCTGTTTCCGCTTCTGTTTATACCGTTCCACGTTCTGTCGGGTTCCATGCTGCAGCATTACCGCCCGCGCTGCGTTCTTCTCCTCCAAAATCGCTCTGCACTCCTCGTCGAACCATTAATTCCGTCGACTTCTTTCCACGTACCCGATCGAGCTCTCGGCTGCGTCGGTGATGGCTGCTTTTACTATACTCCAGCAGTCCTCTAGAGGGGGCACATCGAGCTCGCCCTCCTCCGGCAACGCTGCCTCGAGATTCTGCGCGTATGCTAAGGCGACATCCAGTTGCTTCAGTCGCTCTAGGTTGTACCGTGGCGGGTGTCGGTACCGTACATACCATTTTTTAACAGACAACCCAACCATGCAATCTCATATTTGTGGACAGTGGCTTTGGCTGCCGCTTTTTCGCAAATAGAGGCTCACTCCTGTAGATTACCGGTACCAGCTGATAGAGGAAACATTCCTCTATCTGATGATATCGGCGGTTTGCATGTGTGAGCTTTTGTTCCCGGGAGATCGGTGGCTGAAGCCATTGTTGACTGATATTATCTTTATTACTGATCGAAGGCATCAACTCATGTTATACAAGGGTTTATGCATAAACTTTAAAATAAACTTTTGTCGCCACCTATTGGCAATTTTGACGAGAATGTCTTAGCATGTGCCAATCACGGAATACTTGAGTCCAGATGATCAGTTTTCACAGTTTTGTTCGCTGTTGAACATTATATTTGAGTTATAAAATAATCATATTTCATCTTTTCATTTCTTTATCAAACTTCTTTTTTTTTTTCAAATACGTGTAGATCGCTCCTAAAATTTAAGGAGCTCGGCTAGCTTGATAGTTGCCGCTTTTGCTTACTGAGTAGAAGATCGTCGGTTTACCTCCAAGCTACTCCTAAATATAATTAAAATCATTACAATGGTCGCATCGCCTGCTTAAGCGAATCCTGACCCATACCCATACCACCATCCAACTCCGAAGCCTCTATGGGGGCGTCGGTGTATCTATGGCCTCTCATTAAGTAGATGTTACATCAACAATATCCTTCCTTCCCCGTAACGGAGAAGATCTGCGTGGCCGGCAATGGTAATTGTCATGCTATTCATGTTCTAAACTTTGATTGGAGAACTATTCAATCCCAAATAGTTTTCCTTAAGCAATCAGAATAAGAACGTTAAAGTTGATACATGACAGTTGCCAGTATGCAAGCTACGAATTACTCCGTTACAAACGCAACGCAACGCAATTAATGTGACAGAAGTTAGAGTGAAATTCTGAAATTTCAGGTGGCGGTGATGACAGTTCTCAAACTGATTGATGTCCATAAAGGCAGGCAGTGCTGGCAGTTCTAGTACTGCATTAGCATTAGCATCGATCAAGTTGCACAATATCGTAGGTGGTACGTATTCAAAACTATTAAGAGTAAGACGGATATCTATCACTGGACAGATAGTAAATTGGAAATAATTACTATCTCCCAGATAGATTTTTTTTTTCTTTATTCAAGAGATTTTTAGCCGTAAGCTAGTTCATCTCTAACTAAAAGAATATGCTGAATATGCTGAAATACATGCATTTAAAATATTATACCAATTTTCCTTTGGTTCACCCCTCGTGAAAATGAACAACTACATTGAAAACCTTTTTGGGTGCAGAGGCGCTTTCAACGCTAAAAATTCGGTTCGCCAGCTAAACAAAAGAATGGATCATATTTTTAATATAATATGTTTGATGTAAGAGAATAAAAATTAGCTATTACAAATCCAACCGTTGAAGAATAAAAATCTTTCAAAGTCAATAAAGTGTTGTGTGAAGTACGAGAGGAAGTTTTGTTAATCCTTGGATATCTTGAGTGCCTACTCCACCGATTTTGCTGTTCCAATTTTGGCGACTAGTGTCTGTGCCCTAAAAACATGAATATTTCAGAATTCAGAAGCTCTACCTCTACCTACATATCGAGTTATAGAATCAAAGTAACACTACATATTCTAAATCGATTGAAGAGCGTTTTAGTTGAATAATTGTATACCTTTTACGTTGTTTGTTCTTTTAATTACACTACTATTGTATCACTTTCACTCTCACTTTCACTTTTACTTTCACTTTCACTTATTCAAAGTGAAAGTGATACAATAGTAGTATAATTAAAAGGAAAAACAACGTAAAAGGTAAACACTACATAGATAATCACCCAAAGGAGGCATTGATTTGTTGAAATATCGACTTATAGTACGATACATGGGAAAATGCAGAGACCGCAGAATCCATCGAGTTATAGAATATGGAGTGGTTTAGAGTTGACTGTATTTCAAAAGCTCTGACTTTTGACGTAGGATTACGTCTTTTGGCATCATATTGGGGGTGCAATTTCAAAAAACCCAAATTGACCGCATTGCGAAAAGTTGTTAGGTTTTGACCACATATAACTCTGTCAATAGCGGATGGATTTTAATTCTTAACAAACCAATCGATTAGAAATTTAGCTACGAATCTGCTAAATTGAACACTTTATTAAATTTCAATAGGTCACTACTAAAAATTACACAACTGTCCAACTATTGCAATAGTTATCAAAATTATCATCGATTGCCTGCAAACAGCGCATTCTCTAACACAGATTTCAAAATCGAATTAGATCCTGTCTCCCTGAACGGTGCTTATTCAATCACCGTGTGTGGTGGTGTTCGGTCGGTCGTCAGCAACAGCAGTGCTTTCGGCGCGTGGCGTTGAACATTGTACAAAACGAAAGCAGTGAACTGCAGCCCACATGAGCGTCCATTCACCGAAGCAGGAGGAGAAAGCCTCACCGCTACTGATCGGGATCCATCTTCGTGTGTCGCTGTGGGCCATCTATGCCAAGCGCGTCATTCTCGTTCTAAACAACATACAGCTCGCCAGCCTCATCCGTGTTGAACACCCTAATAGCTCAGCATTACTCAACCATCTCGACAAAACGGTCCTTTTCAGGACGACCATAAATTATTGTGGTTTAAGAGTTAATTTGCATTGAACGTTCGCTCGCCTTGCTGCCAGCAACATCACTCCCAAAAAAATTTAATAATTACCGAATACCACATGAACATGTCAAATAACCAGAAACATTTCGTAAGGCAAAAATACCTCGAATTTATATGATTGATCGCGATTGGAAAAATTTTAGCAAGAAATTCCTCCAATCGATTTCCGCATTTTTATTATCTATTGAATAAATCAAAAGTTTGGAGAACGAAAATGCGTAATTTTGACATCAGAAAATGAGACGTTTCCGTGACGGGAAAAGTTGTTTCCCTAACACAGTCGCCGAATATTGATTTCAAGCACTGAGCATGCCAGACCGTACCTATCTTTATGCCTTTTGTTGCAAATTTTAAAACCCTCCTATTAAGAGTGTTATGCCAAACAAAATCTTGCCGAATTCTCTTAATAGAAGAGGCTTAAAATTTACATCAAAAAGCATAAACGAAGGTACCGTCCGGTAGGCTCAGATTCTGTGATTGATGTGTTTTCCTTGATACATTTTTCATTTCCGCACCGCTATCATCTCCAAGAACATCGAGGACAAATTTCCACAGCATTGTTCTAAACTGGCTTCCAAGCTTCCAACCCATCGATCCTTTTCAGGACCACAAATGACTGATAAAAGAGTTAACTTAAGAGTAAGAGCTTGTATCCAAGATATACCGTCCAGGATTGGCTTGTACTACATAGACACCTAACTAACAGAACTCTCAAATTGCTTCCAAATTTCAACCTATCAAACTTTTTTCTCTGATAACGAGATAAGAAATCAATTTAATATATACTTTACTTTTGCTGTGACATCAAAACTACCTTTCGTAATCCTACGTCAAATCTACGGTCGTGTCTTGGATACAACCTCTTCCTTCTTTTTTTCTTTCCAAAACCGTTTGAAAATCTAAAATTGGTTGAGAAATTATTGAATAACTCTTGATAGCATGCGATCAGTAATTCAAAATTGGTTTTCAACAATAACTTTAAATTATGAGGGCTTTAAAAAAAAATCAAATCGACTGGACTAACAATCTAAAATAGGTCATTTGAAAATTTGAATATTTTTTTTTTATTTGTAACACTGTGTAATTGACCGTATCAACAAACAATCAAGCCTATTTTTAATTAAAATGCCAGTTCTACCACACTTTCTAGCTTTCTATCCAACAATAGCATTAATTAACACCACACAAAAAATTAAGCTCACTTAAACTTTCACCACATTCCCGGTAATTCCCTTCAATAGTGACGACAAAACCTCATTCCACAAGTACCCGTATGACCCAAAAACCCACTGACTCACAAAACTGTCCACCACGGCTTACCGCTCCCCGTTCGGAACTAAGCAAGAAAAAGCAAATAGGTCGAGGTCAGGAAACGAGCCCAAATTGCCTTGGCTCTCATCACCATCATCACAGCTTGACGGACTGTCGCCCGAACATATCCAATAGAGGCTTCCCACTTTAGTTCCGCAAGAAATGGTGGGCACCGTGGACAAATACGATGAGTAGTTAGGTACCTACGTGGGTACGATCAAAAAGGTTAATGAAGACGCTGCTCTTCTTGAATGGCTCTGTGTGTGCAAGCAAAAACGACTCGGGTGTTTGACCAACACTTCACCTACCGAGCGACAAGATCAGATAAATAGTAGAGATTGAAAGTAATTGCTTTGTTTTTTTTTTGCTTCCAGTAGTTGGGTACGTAGATGGGCACCTACTTCATTCTGTCTTTTGCTCAATTTCGTTAATTTGCCGGCTGGTTGAGAGTCCGTCGTAATTAATGCTCATTGTTCTGTTGATCATGTCCGTTCAGTCCGGGGGTAACTAGCAAACTATCATCGCCTGAAATCAAAAGGTTGAGGCTGAGGCGTTGGTTTTGACCTTTTCTATTCATCAACGTTAATATTATATGTACACTTCAGCGTATCATAAATTGATGATTGTTTTGCCCTTTACTTTTGTTTATCCAGGTGATTTGGAGATACTGACCTACTTCTTCGGACCGGTGGGCATTCTGCTGTGCATCAATCTTCTGCTATTTGCATCCACCGCTCGGCAGTTGACCTGTGGTCTCTGGAAGCGAGACGATGTCAAATCGACCACGGAACGGTAAGTGAACTTTTGAGGATTTTGCAATGTTGATTTATACACATTACCAGATGCACGTTTTATTCCATTACTTTGGCATGATATGCTCAAATATAGCAACGCAATTTTTATTTGAATAGTAATAGTAATACACTGCAGCATATTTTGCACTTTTGAACCCAATCCTAACCTATGTAGTCCTAACCTGAACCTTCCTAGCCTGCTTCCTTCCTAACGCCGATTCCCATCGAATCCATCTTTTTCACACCCGTCACACTCATCCCGCATGTTGGCATGTGCTTTGCTACTAATGCTGTTCTGTTTTCTGTTGCCTTCTTCTTTTCTTCCTTTTTTATGTTATGTTCCTCCCGATAACGTGTAACCCAACTTGTGGATTATGAACCCCACAACGTGTGATCAACTTGCAACTGCAACCAACAACAACTCCAACGTCACACGCACACACACACATCCTCTCTACTAGCCGCGGTCTGGTTTCTTCTCCCTCTTACAGTGCTGCCCTGGGTCGTGTCTGCATGAAGCTGGTGGTCGTCATGGGTGTCACCTGGGTCGCCGACGTGGCTTCCTGGGTTTTCGGTGGACCGGACTACATCTGGATGGTGACGGATCTGATCAACGCACTGCAGGGGGTGTTCATCTTCATCGTAGTCGGCTGTCAACCGCAGGTGAGTGTCATTTCTTCCTACGTGAACCATTTTTAAAATTACCGTATTTTTGACTATTTCGTAGTCCGAAGCTAAAAAACTCCAGTTGCTTCGTTTCGAAGGGCACCAGGTGGCGAAAACAAGCCTAAAGAAGCTGTATTTTGCTATCAAGTAACTTTATCTTCCTTCTACTTAATCGTTCAACCTAGCACTCAATTGGAAACGATCGTAATATCAAATTTAAACACCATTAAAATAACTTTATCTAACCCGAAGTTAAAAAAACACACACTCATTTGGGTCATATTCAATAACCGACCAACTACTGCTATATTCCCCAAATAGTGATGACAATTTTCCAACCAACTTGCAGAACCGGAAAACAGAACTAGTTCTGCCAAATCCCCAAACGGCTCCCCCGGGACACATAATAATTAACTGTTGCGGCTCGGCTGCCAGCCGTCCCCATCTGACTCTTATTTTCCCATTCCGAACGTTTTCACGCTCAAATCCCAATTTTCTCTGTATGAATATTTTTCGTCCTTATGCCTCGGTTTTTCCTTCAACCCGGCGGAGGAAAGGATGCAAAACACTCTTATCTTTCTCTGCAACAACCATATAAACTAGTGTGCAAATTTATTTTCGCCCCCATCCCGCGTTCGCTGGATGGCTTTTTTTTTCGGATGGGACCTAAATGGAACCCTTATTAGAGAGCAGCAACCGCAAAATCTCATTTAGTCAGGTTCCATTGGGGATCGTATTTTTTGCGGGTGATTTTTTTTTTCCCATGGCATTAAAAGGGTTGAAGAGGTGCTGACCAAGGGATTGTCGTTTTACATATTGCTCTGTTTGCAGCACCCTACGGAGGATAATATTGTTGGAACCGTGAAATTGCTCTTGCTGTAGGTAAACTGTTGCACGGGATTTCGACACGTGGGTTGGGGAATTTTTTGGATGAACTTAGTTACTAACAGTCACGTTAAGCATTGATAAAGTGCCTTTTGCAGGAACCCGAAGCTGTGTGGTTGGGAAAAGCTCCATTTTGAAGAGGATTACACAGCAAAATATATTTGAACAGGTCAAACGAAATTCTTTAGAATGCACCAAAATAGATAAGTAATAAAAGACATCAAATGGAAATCATGCAATTATCTCAACTGAATTTACATTAATGTGCTCAATTCTATCTTATTGCAAAAAGTTTGTTACCCAAATTGATGTAAATTTTTCAAAGTTACAACCTTATGAAAAGTTTAGACTAACAAATAATAAGAGAAGGTCCAATGAGTATTAGGGTGGGTCATTATGATATTTTTTTTCAGTATCATGTTTTGGTTCCATTTGGGGTCCAAAACAACTGTACAAAATTTGGAGACGATTGGTTGTAGCTCGGCTTTCCATATTGCGTTTGACATTTGCATGGAAAGTAGTATCGGAAAACCTACTTTTTTGCACTTTCATTCCTAGGGGACCACACATTTGCTTGAACCATGCTGTTGGCACAGCACTAGGCGCAGAGTTATTTTCACGGTTCTTTTAGCAATTCGTTTATTTGAAAATGCTTTAAAGCTAAAATATAAATTTGTTTCAACTGATTATCTCTAATGATATTTATCGAATGTTTACTCACAATTCAGTGACTCTACTCTTAGATTCAACGCCTACTTAGCCTGTGATAACTGCACTCTTTCTTAGTCACTTTATCTAGAATAAGTTGGTTTTAATATCTTAGTATTAAGCTAGGCAATAAGGTTTTAGATTTACTCACAGATCGTAGCGTAGCAGTAAGTTTTAGTGTTAATCCAATATAAACAATGCATGAATGACTAACCTAAAAAAATTAATGTTTATGTCACTTTAAGTATTTAGTAGGAAATATTAATTTTAATAATTATTTAACTTACGCAATGTTAAATTCAGCACTTCAACTATTATTAGGATAGGCTAACACTTTAATTTAAGTTTCAATTCACACTAATCTTAACTTTTTAAATAGCATAGAATAATTCTGCTGACTGCCTGCATACAATCACAGTTTTTTCTCTCTTCTACTTTCCATGACATTCTGTCTTATCATCAATCATACCACAGTAGTTATCATTAGTCAAATCTGATCCAGCATCCCTACGGTAGATTCTTCCATGCCGCTAACGGTCGTAACGTCTCCCGCAACATTCCCCTCCCCGTAATGCTGCTCTGGTTCAGCAGGATTACCTATTGGGAGTACGTTGAGCACAGCAAGCTTTGCCACGGGACGACGTAGAACTCCTGTAGTAGTCTGAACATCTGCCTGCCGGATGCGACCATCTTTCCCCGGCATGACCTTTACAACCTTTCCTCTTGTCCATCGATTCCGGATTGCTTCATCGACGATGAACACAACATCTCCCTCCTGTATGGGCTTCACTTCCTGGTGCCATTTGGTACGCATTGTTAGTACCGGGAGATATTCCCTGATCCACCTTGACCAGAATTGATCCAGAAGATAACGACAAAGATTCCATCCATTTCGCAGTGCCTCACCTTCTGTAGTTGTCGCTTTCTCCGTCTGTTTGACCCCATTTGAGCTGAGGAGGATGAAATGATTCGGAGTCAATGCCTCTTGGTCCGACGTTTCCAGAGGCATATACGTCAACGGCCTAGAGTTGACCATTGATTCAGCTTCGCACAGCACCGTCTGGAATACTTCTTCCGATGGTGCCCGGGAATGGTTGATAGATTCCATAGCAACTTTGACTGCTCGTACCATCCTCTCCCATGCACCACCCATGTGTGAGGATGATGGTGGGATGAAGAACCATCGTGTGTTGGTATTAGTGAAGGTCTCCGACAGTTCACGGTTCATTGCAGCAACTTGACCAGCCAGCTCTCGGCTGGCACCAACGAAGTTTGTTCCATGGTCTGTGTAAATTTCCGCCGGCGCTCCACGGCGTGCAATGAATCGCCGCAACGCTAGCTTGCAAGATTCGGTTGACATTGACGCTGTTACTTCCAAATGCACAGCCCTTATCACCAGGCACGTAAAGAGTGCTACCCAGCGTTTGACCTGGCTTCGGCCAATCTTGATGATGTACGGCCCGAAATAGTCAATTCCAACCAACGAAAATGGCCGGACGAACGGCGTCACCCGTGCTTGAGGAAGAGGTGCCATCCTAGGCACTTCTGGAATGGCTTTGTAGACTACGCACCACTGACAACGCTTTGCCACTGTGCGCACCACTGTTCGAAGTGCTGAAATATGGAATCGCTGCCGAATTTCATTGACTACAGTTTCACCGTTATGATGACCGAACTTTCTGTGATACCAGTCTACCAGGAGCTCGGTTACACGATGATTTTTCGGCAGAATTACAGGGAATTTTGCTTCGTAAGGAGCCAGAGGAGAAGCTTCTATGCGCCCTGCCACGCGTATCACGCTGAACTCGTCAAGGAACGGCGATAACTTCCTTATTGGACTACTGTTTTCTAACCGTAGCACTCGACTCCCCTTAGATTTCTTTGATTTTTTCACCACTTCTAACTCTTCGGCATATACATCTGCTTGTGCAAGCCGCCACAGTGCCCGCTCAGCGCGAATAAAATCCTCTTGCTTCAGTTCGCGTCTGATCTGCATAGCTCCTTGCTTCTTAACTTCCACGTACCGATCAACAAACGAATACACGTAGGCAATTGCTCGAAGCATGCGCTCCCACTTTGAAAATCGTTCAGGCTCGATGCATGTCCGAGTTACCTCCGCCCGATGCACGTGAACAGCACGTAGTTCTTCTTCGGTTTCGATTGATTGAACCTGCTGCTCTGGCCACTCATCCTCCTTTTGGTAGAGGAATACCGGCCCGGTGAACCAGCGACTGTCCGGATACAAAGTGGGACCTTTTCCCCATTTGGTGGCTTCGTCCGCCACATTCTGTTTTGTGTGTACCCATCGCCATTCTTCAATCGTTGTTTCTTCCAGAATTTCTCCAACACGAACCGCTACATACTGGCGATACTTCCGAGCATCTGATCTGATCCACGAAAGAACTGTTTTGGAGTCACTCCAGAAAAATCTGCGATATGTAGAAAGCGAATGGTACTCAGCAACGGATTTTGCTATTCGACTTCCGATGACCGCTGCTTGGAGCTCTAACCGAGGAATAGAGAGTGGCTTCAATGGAGCCACCTTGGCTTTTGATGCTATCAAAGCACATCGTGGCTGACCTCGATCCATCATTCGAAAATATGCAACGCAAGCGAAAGCAGATTCACTCGCATCCACAAACACATGAAGCTGCAGTGATCGGAAGCTATCCGGATCATATCCGGGGAAATAGCACCGTGGAATTTGAACTTCGTGTAGCTTGGTGAATTGATTGATGCACCTTCCCCAGTTCCTTTGTATTTCTGTTGGAATAGCTTCGTCCCATCCGACTTGAGATCTCCAGAGGTCTTGGATAATCATCTTACCATGCATGAGCAGGTTGGATATTAATCCAAGTGGATCAAAAACGCTCATCACGAATCGCAGGATACCTCGCTTCGTCAGGTCGGCTTCTGAAGTTCCTGAGTGTTCGAGATCTTGTGGTAGTTTTACGGAATATACAAATACGTCTTCACTCGGTAGCCAAGCCATTCCTAGAACCCGTTCTACTTTACTGGCTTTGTCGGCGGTGAAGTCTTTCCTCAGGTCTGTTGCATCTTCTCCCAGCATTCGCAGCACATCCACCGAATTAGACCGCCAGTTTCGCAGCTCAAAACTGGCTTTTGCTTGTACCATCCGTACCTCCAAAGCCAGTTTCCCCATTTCTTCCTCCGTATCTCGGTTATCCAAATAGTCATCCACATAGTGGTTTTCTACTATGGCAGCCGCTGCTTCGGGAAATTTATGCTTCCACTCCATTGCGTTAGTATTCTTCACGAAGTTGGCCGAACAGGGGGAACAGGTGGCCCCAAAGATCGCCACGACCATCACGAACACTTCAGGTTTCAATGATGGATCCTTTCTGAAGAGGAAACGTAGAAATTGTAGATCTTCCTTCCGTATC